TATCATGAAGAACGCTGCCGCTGTGTGGCACCAATGATATATAGGCAGCGCATTTCTTTATTCTTCTCAAAAAATTGGTGCCGACAAAGACTATGTTTCTTGTGTGTAGATTTTTGAAGTACTAAGTTGGAACCTTACTCTGCAATGTTCGAGATCGAGGCTTCGCGTGGTTCCTGCATCCAATAACTTCCACGGATTTTTGTTGGTTCACCAACAGTGAATGCCATCTGAATATTTTTGCTCAAAATAGAAAACCATCTCTACCATCTATATCTCACCCCAACTACAGTCGGCTCGCTCTGAGGCTTCTTCATTTGACGATCAGCAAATGACTGAGGACCAGCATGGCTGATATCAAATCCGACAAACATACGAGTCTTGGGAAAAAGAGTGGCATCCCTGAAAAAGTATGAGGTATTCGTATTCGGAACGTACAAGTCAATTGTGAAACCTACATGTTGCGTAATTTAGAATTCGCATTGAGGAAACTTTCAGAAACCCGCAAGTTATGGTTAACTCCTCCAAGTTTCAAATTCAGCTTCAGGCACAAATTTCCAAGAACCATGAATGCTCCCTGTTACAGGTTGAAGAGATGATGCTTGACCAGATAGCAGAATTTTCATACAGTTATAGGTCCAGTTACCTTATGTCCAATTGCCTTCATGAGTGTTTGCTGGCTGACATGTTGTGTGATGACCCCATACTGGGCTTCAAGGCGCTTCATAAGGTCTGCAAGATTTATCTAACATACGTGAATTTTTTTTCATCATCTCCTGGTTATGAGACAGTTTTCAGCTGCATAACTATATTCAACGAAAGATGATTAAACGAGAACGACCAATTTTGAAAATATGTCTCAGGTCAACTAGGTGCAAGGAGGGACTCTACTGCATTCTCTCGAAGTGAGAGTATAATAGCTCTCGTGAAGTGCCTATATGCCGCGTTTTTTGCTGTGCAATCAGCCAAAATTTACGACCTTACGTTGGGATTTGATTACGGGAAATCCAATGCAGTAAGAAACTGACTATTCACTTTTGTGCTTATTCAAGCGCAAAGTTGAGCTCAAACAGGTTTTTATTGAACGTGTTTCGAGGATAAAAACTGGTAAATGTGAGCATGGGAATCATAGCACGCAAAGTGGAAGTTCACTAAGATGTCTACACGACGACAAAGCGCGGTCGCGAAATTTTTGAAAACTACTTACATGAGTTAGAAAAATGTGCATTTCACTCGTTCATACTTGTGAATAATTAAAATGATTAACGAAATTCTTAAAAGAGAGCGCGGCTGGCGCCACGTCTCCTTTTTCTGAGATTTCGAGGTTATGGGCCAGCGAAAATTTTGGGAAGGCATACCATATTTTCGGAGTGCGTGGCTGGCACCTTCACCAAAAAAAAATTTTTTCTGTCGCCCCTCCTTCCAAACGGAAACCCTGGGTACGCCACTAGTTGTTAGCTACAAAACTGTTTATCAATATGGCAACTAGATCAAGAAGTAGGTAGGAGTATTTAGCACTCTATGTTAACGATTTTCTTGGATTTAAAAAGGGCCCACAAAATTTTGGAAACCCCCAAAAGCTTTTTGGGAGCGTAAACTTACTGTGGACAGGATCCAGTTTCATCTTTGTTGTAAACATAACAAATGCGGAATGCTTGCTCAATTTCTTCATCATGGCATCGACATCACTTTCGACTTCACTGGAAGCTTCGAAGATGTCAACCTAAGTGACAAAAA